AATATCATGTTCATGAGAATGAGGTGCACAAATGGGCGAACAACCCGAAAACACAATCCCTCTGGCTACGGCAACCGCCGCACCGAGGCATGACAACGCAGTCAGAAGTGGTCCCATTTATTTGTGGTAACTAAGATCAGTGTTAATGCGATAAAGAACTTGATTTGTGAGTGGTTCACACTTCTGCAGTGCAGGCCTCACCTTCCTCTTTTCAGCCTCCTCTTCTTCTCTGCTTCCCTCCTGTCCTCCTTCCCCCCCCCCTGCTTTTTTGCGTCTTTGAGGGGAACTTGGGCTCTGGCTGCTTAAAAGAGAGGCGCTCGGCGGGCCTTGTGTTTTGCGAGAACACTGCCTCTCTCTATAGGACCTTATTTGTGAGTGCGCTTCCGCATACTAGAGTAGTAATAGTACCTCTGTTGGGGATCATGCTTCTTATTTTGCTACTTTTGCTGGTTTGGTTTTCACAAAGGGTTTAAATGTTTGCTTGATGAGCATGAATTCCTACTAATGCATGGGCTGATTTCCCTAATATCATCTGTTACGAGTGTTGTTTGTTGGAGCTTGCTTAGAACGCTGAGGAGATTACAGTAACGTAAACTTAGCAAACAGTACTGAGGGTTTATATTTTAGCGCCCTCCCTCCGCTGTTATTTGCCCTCCTAATAAATGATTGACCTCTCAGGTTTAGCTGACACATCATACATTGCTTTCTATAATCTAGTTTCATCAGATAGGGTGTTTTCTGGAAAGCTTTTCCTTAAATACTCTGACCAGAGCTCATTCTCTGTATCAGTGGCTTTCATTTTCTCCCCAAAACAGTGATGTTCATGTGTTTCTGCATCACTGCCAGCACAGATTAGATTTTATCAGCAGCGGAGAAAAATCAATACTGGGGACAGGACAATGTATCGAAATTCAACACACACCAGCAACTTCATATTTTTTTGTACGTAAGACAGCCTAACAAGAACGTAGGTCAGTATGTCTGGTTGTTGTTTACGTAATCAAATCGTACACACTATATCATTGAGTTGATATAGTGCTGCATTGAGTCAACCCGAGAAAAAGTCATATCGTCCCATCCCTAATCAATACTGCCTGATGGATCCTTTCCCTTGAGACCAAACAAAAAGTGCCAGAATGTGCTGTTTTTAAGATAGTGCTATAATTGTATCAGCTAGATTTAGTCTTTGTCCTGATTTAGCCAGCTTCATGCTTTGATTTTTTTTTTTTATGTTCATCTTTTAAATTACAAGTTATAAAAAAACTACATTATGTTAACACAGTTTAAGTTGATGAAAACAGTTGTTATATATAGGATATCCAGGTTTATTCCTAAATAACTCAGTTGACAAAAGTTACATGAAGATGAAGTCTAGTCTTATGGGTCAATTTGCCTGTTGTATGGCAACAGACTGAAGTATGTTAATTTTAAATTACCTGCTTTCAGTTTAAAATCAACCTCACAGGTTGTAATCTGAAAGAACTGCAACTCAAAACTAGACTCGAAATAAAATGTTAATCAAAAATCAGTTTTTTCAAACAATGAAAATGTATTTATTAGATGATTTTGGTTTTATCATGGGGAAAAAGGTTGTTGATGAATATATTTCATGAAAGGATTTGTTAATATAGTACTATCTTGAACAGTCAGATGAAAACATTTAAGCTTAAATAAATCCTATATATCAGTTACCAAATCGGTTTGTTTCTGCAGGAAGGTATTTTTTTGATATAAGAGTCTCGGAGCAGGGAGAGTAAATTCTCTGTGGGTCGCTTTGCCTCCATCCTTCCTGTTTTATCCCATCCTGTGTCAACAGGTTTTCCCCATCCGGCTCCTCTGTGGCTGCTCGCCCCAACTGTGCCACCAGGGGGCAGCACACAGTCACTGCACTATGAAAAACCGAAGTTACAGTACTTTAAAGCAACTCACAGTCACGTGAGCTGGTGTGAAGTGTGGCTGACGTAGAGACTTAAATAAGTCATGCAGTTGTGTGTGTTTTTCAGTAGGAGTCAGTGCTGATTTAATGCCCCTATACGTGTCAACATGCCTGTATGTATGCATGTATTGCTTTAAAATACAGTGTCTGATCCCATCACTGATCTGACATGAACAAGACAGATGCTTCTTTCAGCGTTAGATCAATGATGACCATGAATGAAAAAAGATACGGGGTCTGTTTCTTGTCGTTGAATATCTACAGTTTTAATGTGTCATATTGTGGTTTTTCAGTCTCAGTGTGACTTGTACGATCACATCATGCCGGAATACACTGTAGTATTGTACACCTGCCTTTGTCACATGTCTTGGCTTGATGGATGATACCTGAGCTGAGGCTTTAGTACTTCCTTGTTTTCCCAACATTGTGTTTAGTGTTAAGTGGAAAAGGGCTGAACACGTGGTCCTATTTTCTGTTTTACTGCCAGAATGTCTGTGGGCTGTTCTTGTTACCTGGAACACTGAAGTGCTCTGCAGTGAGTTTGTGGTTCCAATACAAGACGTGTAAATGTCCCCCTACTCTCACCACAACATCAAAACCGCCTCCCCTCTGTCAGAATTATTCCTCCCCTCTGACCTTCATCTGCCTCTTGCTTCCATTTTAACCCCTGTCTCCCATCTGATGTTGTGCTGCTTTGACTGGAGTCCAATCAGCATGATTTGGCTGATATTGTTTTATGGAAGATATATTACATTGGCATAAAAACTGGCAGTGTTTCAACACAATTAGTCTTTAATAGCATTTTATATGCTACAGATTATTATCTTTCCTATCTTATACACACTAGTATCCCACATCAACTAATTTAATATCCCTTTTGTGATCTGCTATATTTTAGAGCTTTCACTTATAATAATTAAAATAGTTTTCAATTTACTGTTGTGTCCATGTTTATTGTTCTATTGGAAAAAGTGCCTGCTCACCCTAACCCAACAGTACAAAGAGACAGGTTACTGCCAAACATACTTTTATGACATGTATTTATTAATAAAAAAACAAATATTTTTATTCATTGCTGCAAAGTATGACTACTACTTTATTAAAATAGGACAAGTTGTATCAATATCAGCCTCATTAGTCCAGTATAGTTGGGCTGTAGTTTTGACCTCGTGTTCAGGTTTAACTGCTGAAAGACATTAACCATGTGATCGTCTGTCCATACCATTTCTCTGCCTCTCTCGTTGTGTCCTGGGGATGCCGGCGGTGCTTCTCCTCCTCCTCCTCCTCCCTGCATGTTCCTCTTCTCCCTAATAACCTGCTGATGTGTGTGTGTTTGTTTGCTCTCTCCTGCCTTGTCCCCTGGGGAAAATCAAAGCACAATCCGTTAGAGCTCAACCAGGTGGGGCTGAAGCCGGTCTCGATCAGTAAAGCCACCAAGGTAATGTCACGGTAACGAAGCACACCCATATCGCTCAGACATCGAGGACGAGTTCAGAGGAAAGCTAGTGTTCACACAGGCATATATACTCAAACATTCAACAAACACTTTCACGGTGGGGGCAAAAGTGTGTGGACACTGATCACTGCACACATATGTGATGCTTGCAAACAGCACTCCAAAAGCACGGGCACTAATCTACTGCTGGAACAGCCTCCAGCTGAAACCTGGCTGCAGGGATTTGCTCCCATTTATAGCAGGACAGCGCTCTGTGCAGCATTAAATGCCTGTTTCAGTTTCTATGCAAACTATTTAAATGCAGATATAAATGCAAGGGTCACACAAGTATTTATGTACGCAAGCAGTGGCTGCCATGCATCTTGCCAGAAGCGATACACCAGTCACCCATTGGGGGGGCAAGAGTCACTGGCCCATGGGCCTAATCAGGTCATATGATTTATCCAGTAGAAACGAAATTTGCTGCTGAGAGTGCATCAATTTTCTTTTACTAAATCATCACCAGTAAAATAAAAACAGAAGCGTGTGTTTGCCGTGTCATAAAGCCGCTGATGAACATACCTCGTACTTGCATCCTGACTGGTGTGAAAACACTAACCATCTCACCATGTCTAACATGTGCATGGTAAATACCAGAATTGTTTTGTAAAGTACTGGTATTTACACTTTTGAGTCATCTTGTTTTTCCAGCTGAGATTATGGGTTTTCTAGGTTTCCTTGTTTGAGGTCTTTCTTTTAGCCTGATGTACTTTCTTTCCTATTTCCTTCCCATTAGAAGTGACATTTTGCCATCAAGTACAAAAATGTGATAATTAGCACAGGATAGTCTGGTATCATGTCATGTCCAGAACTCCCTGGAAGAAGAGATCTTGTATCTCAATGGGACATTACTGGATCAATAAAGGATAAATAAAATGTTAGTAATGTGATATTGCATGCCCAAAAATAACACTGTATGAGCTCAGAGTCCATATTCTGAATGCTCAGATCATACTGAGGTCCCTGTTGTAAAAATATGCATCATCAAGCACAGATCCGAGCTGCCTTTCTTACATGTTTGTAAAAGCAGTTTTTCCTTTGCAGTCTGGGAAAAAAGTGACCAGCGACCCCAATCCTTTTGTCAATTTCACAGTCGGACACAAGTCCTTCGAGAGCAAGGTGAGACCTAATCATGATCCACATTTACACTCACTGTGATTCATTCATTCAGTATAATGCCTGTGAATCTTTTTATCCCAACAGATGACTTTCTGAAATTTGAAAAAAAGGAAAAACTGCTAATGTAAATGTAAAGTTGTAGAACACTTCCCTCACCATCTGCAGTCACCTTACAGAAGATGTATATTTGAGGTCTCAGCATGCTTCCAGTGAACTAGGTCATATGGCATGGCAGTCGACAACAAAGTCTTCATATACAGGGTGGGATTGCCAGATTGTCTAGCAGTAGGTTTAGTTTGAATTGGTAGGTAGTCCATTTGTTTTCAGTTTCACAGAAAGGATAATTTTGGATTTAGAAAGTTGACTAGTTAGTGTCAAAATAATCTAAATGCCAGCCAGAGTAACTGTGTTCAAACAGAAAGCAGCTAACTGGCGACCTAAATCCTGCTAGAAATAAGTCAGTGTTGGATCCATTAACATTTTGTTATTTCCACATGACACTGCCATTTTCACAAGATTTGTGTCCTCAACAACTTTGTTACATAGAAAATTGCAGTTTTCATCTGGTTCGGTGTGGCCATCTGTCTTTACCAAAGCGTTGATAATTTCCCGTTACAAGTCTCTAGACATCTGAGCTTGTCTTCACATTGACCCCTCTGTGCTGTGTGCTCTTTCAGACCAGATACAAGACTAATGGACCAGTGTGGGAGGAAGCCTTCACCTTTCTTATCCACAACCCTAAAGCCCAAGAGTTGCAGGTCGAGGTATGAAAGCTTCTTTAGTAACAAAAAAAATCTATATATAGTTGTATACTTTTTAGTGACTGATCATTTTGCTGCTGCTTCAGTCTAATGTTTGTGAGGAGTTAAATCCAGGATATACAGTTTGATTTTTACATGACATTTTCCTGTGAGCTAACTGTTTCATACCCTGCACCTTTAGGTGAAGGATGAGAAACACGAATGTTCACTGGGGACGTTAACGCTGCCTCTCACTCAACTGCTGGAGGCAAAAGACATGATGCTGAACCAACGCTTCCCTCTCAAGGGCTCCGGAACGAACTGCACCCTCAAGATGAAGCTGGCTCTGAGGGTAGGAGAACAACCTGCTCAGTGAACACAAGAATAAGTCTTCTGCCATTCACCTGAGGTTTTTGATCAGTGTGCATAAGTACTCTGAAATGTTGTAGCTCACTTTCATTCCAAGCCATTAGGGGCTTTTGAAAACCAACATCAGACAGTAAAGTGGCCCTGTGGTCTGAGAGACTGGAAGGCCAGAGTCTGAAACCTATTGCTGCATTGTCTGAAGCATTGTTGCAGATGCAAGGATGTACCAGGCTAACACTAACAACTTCGCTTAACTCGAGAACACCTAACAGGAAGGCAGTTCAGCAGAGCTGACGGCTCTATTGGTTAAGGTTACAAGACGATAATAAACAAGACTGAGAGCTAAATTGAACTTTAAATAAAATCAATAATAGATGGAAGACAGCCTGAACAGTGAGGCCAAGGGCAAACAAATAAACTGCTGTTTTGAATTTGTCTTCTATGAATCATCTGTGGCTCATATATGTCACTATAGCCATGTCAATATAGCACTGGCTTGTCACTGACACAATATTAAAGAGCAGATTTCCCATTTAATGAATGAATAGTAAATACAGTGGCTTGCGAAAGTATTCGGCCCCCTTGAACTTTGCGACCTTTTGCCACATTTCAGGCTTCAAACATAAAGATATAAAACTGTAATTTTTTTGTGAAGAATCAACAACAAGTGGGACACAATCATGAAGTGGAACGAAATTTATTGGATATGTCAAACTTTTTTAACAAATAAAAAACTGAAAAATTGGGCGTGCAAAATTATTCAGCCCCCTTAAGTTAATACTTTGTAGCGCCACCTTTTGCTGCGATTACAGCTGTAAGTCACTTGGGGTATGTCTCTATCAGTTTTGCACATCGAGAGACTGAAATATTTGCCCATTCCTCCTTGCAAAGAGATACTGTTGTGGAGAAGTTTAAAGCCGGATTTGGATACAAAAAGATTTCCCAAGCTTTAAACATCCCAAGGAGCACTGTGCAAGTGATAATATTGAAATGGAAGGAGTATCAGACCACTGCAAATCTACCAAGACCTGGCCGTCCCTCTAAACTTTCAGCTCATACAAGGAGAAGACTGATCAGAGATGCAGCCAAGAGGCCCATGATCACTCTGGATGAACTGCAGAGATCTACAGCTGAGGTGGGAGACTCTGTCCATAGGACAACAATCAGTCGTATACTGCACAAATCTGGCCTTTATGGAAGAGTGGCAAGAAGAAAGCCATTTCTTAAAGATATCCATAAAAAGTGTCGTTTAAAGTTTGCCACAAGCCACCTGGGAGACGCACCAAACATGTGGAAGAAGGTGCTCTGGTCAGATGAAACCAAAATCGAACTTTTTGGCAACAATGCAAAACGTTATGTTTGGCGTAAAAGCAACACAGCTCATCACCCTGAACACACCATCCCCACTGTCAAACATGGTGGTGGCCGCATCATGGTTTGGGCCTGCTTTTCTTCAGGAGGGACCGGGGAGATGGTTAAAATTGATGGGAAGATGGATGGAGCCAAATACAGGACCATTCTGGAAGGAAACCTGATGGTGTCTGCAAAAGACCTGAGACTGGGACGGAGATTTGTCTTCCAACAAGACAATGATCCAAAACATAAAGCAAAATCTACATTGGAATGGTTCACAAATAAACATATCCAGGTGTTAGAATGGCCAAGTCAAAGTCCAGACCTGAATCCAATCGAGAATCTGTGGGAAGAACTGAAAACTGCTGTTCACAAACGCTCTCTATCCAACCTCACTGAGCTCGAGCTGTTTTGCAAGGCGGAATGGGCAAAAATTTCAGTCTCTTGATGTGCAAAACTGATAGAGACATACCCCAAGTGACTTACAGCTGTAATCGCAGCAAAAGGTGGCGCTACAAAGTATTAACTTAAGGGGGCTGAATAATTTTGCACGGCCAATTTTTCAGTTTTTTATTTGTTAAAAACGTTTGAAATATCCAATAAATTTCGTTCCACTTCATGATTGTGTCCCACTTGTTGTTGATTCTTCACAAAAAATTACAGTTTTATATCTTTATGTTTGAAGCCTGAAATGTGGCAAAAGGTCGCAAAGTTCAAGGGGGCCGAATACTTTCACAAGGCACTGTATATGCAAAATCACAGAAGTAAATTTATGTTCAGTCCAATGAGCAATGTTACATGAATAAATGTTTACAGAAGCAAAAACCTCCAATGGAGTGAGGCTGTTTCAGTTCTCCTTGTCTGATTTTGGTAAACTGACATCGTCATACACATAGTATATAGATCTGAGAGAAGGTGTGACATTAAACATGGTCAGTTCTGAAATCCGGACTGCGAGTTGACAGTGGCCTTTGTTCCTTATTGTTCAGCTATTGACTCTCATTTTCTTTGTACCTTTTGTCCACTTTCAGGTGTTGTGTCTGGATAAGAACACTTCCTCGCCATCAGACTCCGCCCCGTCCTCGGTGCAGATCCGCAAGGCCAGTTCCACCAACCCGCTCCCACGGCCCTTGTTCTCTTCTGGCCCCTATGTGCCTGCCTCTTCCACCTCCAACATCCCCCATTCTGTCTCTGCGTCGACCCAGGAACTGGCAAGCTGGCAGAGGGAGGCCGAGGGGCCTGTTAGGGCTCCAGGAAACATGGACATGGGGAAGAGTGGCCTCAGAGGAAAAGGAGGAGGTGGAGGTCAGAGCCTGGCACAGACTGGGAAGAGCACATCCAACTTGGCCATCTCGAGCTCCCAGCTGAACCTGGTCGGGGGGAAGGAGGCGACACCAAGCATCGCGTCGGACATCTCCAACCCCTACGCCGCTCAGGAGCTGCAGCAAAGACTCCAGCAGCTGCAAAAGTATGTGTCAATCAGCTTAAATATATCTGTGTGCACATCCTCTGATCAGGTCGTCCGTCTCTGTCACATGAAACCTAAACATGGGTCTAATCACTTAGTGTAACGTGTGTTGTAGTGGTTCAGGCCCCATTCACTTCCCACTGGGGGAGATCCAGCTGACAGTCCGACACAGCTCTCAGAGGAACAAACTCATTGTAGTCGTTCATAGCTGCAGGTACGAGCCAAGAAGAATGACGCACTTCATATGTATGAGGTCAGAGTTTAGAGTCTTGAGTAATATTCTTCTGTTCACCTCCTCAGAAACCTGATCGCATTCACTGATCATGGATCAGATCCTTACGTCCGCCTCTACCTGCTTCCTGACAAACGGAGGTCAGGCAGGAGGAAAACTCGCACGTTCAAGAAAAACCTCAACCCGGTGTTCGATCAGACGTGGGTCAAACTGCTTCACTTGTTCTTTTATCATTAGCAAACTTTATTGTTGAACTCTGCCAATTAAGCTGCTGTAAATGTACTGTGTGGCTTCCTCTGTGCGTCTGTTCAGGTTTGAGTTCAACGTCTCGTTCGTGGAGCTCCACAGACGGACTCTGGATGTTGCGGTGAAGAACGGTGGAGGTCTGCTCTCCAAACACAAAGGCCTTCTGGGAAAGGTACACACACTTTGTATTTTCACTTTATACTTTAATGTTCAACACTGAAAAAATGTCTTCAGCAAAGTGAAGTCCCTCTTACTGGTTTTAAGTAAAGCACAACAACATGGTGACTTCTTACCAGACATTTGCTTGAAATTAATCTGCTTTATCCAGACTGAATTCTTGTTTTCTGTCAGGTTGTGGTTGATTTGATCCATGATGACATCACCAAGGGTTGGACACAATGGTTGGTCACTTTTAGTGTTTGATTTACCTCCAGACATGAATGTTAAGGATCAACACAAAAAGCTCTGACAGAAAAAACTTAAAATTGAGCATCAGTTTTCTACATCTGACCCCCCTCCTTTCTCCTTCTGCAGGCACGAGCTCAGTGAAGACGGCCTGTCCAAGTCTCACCTGATGTAGATGGCAACAAGAAGTCTTTATCACCATCATCATATCATCACACTTCCACTTAACTCCACAGTACGACGTGTTTTTTATTTTTTTATTTTCAATACTTCTAAGTGTAAAAAAGGAAACAGAAAAGCAGCTTTTTGACATTCATTTAATCACATCAGTCGCAAGCCAAGCCTCCCCTTTAACAAGTGACAGAGAGTGATTGACTAAAGGGAGTAGATATAAAAAGCTATATATGACAATGTACTGCTATGGATTCTATAGTACATATTTATAGAAGAAATTATAAGTCTTTTTGCTGTTGCAGCAGTTTCCTGCCTTGAGCTTCCGTAAAGGATGACGATGTACAAGTTTGTAAATAATGTACAATGATGCTAGATTCTAGAAATAGGAGAGAGGACCCTGTGGTCTCTTACTCAGCCAAATGATTGTTTCAAATTTTATTTTTTTTTTAAAGTGGAAAAACCTTCTGGGCAGACGTAGTGAAGTAGAGTGAGCGGGCACTGGGAAAGATGCCGTCAAAGAAGTGAGAAGTATTTCATTGTTTCACCCTTGTGGGTTTTGGAAACAGAACTGTACACTGGCTTTATTTCATTGTGATCATTTGTGAAATAACCAAGTGAAACGAACTGTAAGTACACAAGCACTGTGTTATGTGTGACGCAAGTGTCAGTTTGCTAACACGGTTCTTTTCCAGCTGTTAGACTGAAATAAGGCCACTGTGGAGTGTGACCTGTTTTTTAAGAAGAATATTTCTGAATATTCACACAAGTGTGTTTTTTATTATCTGTTGGGGACAATCTGTGATCACTGCCTGAAAGCATTGTCTGTTTTGGCAGGTAATTTTATCTCAAATGTAGAAAAAAAACCCATCTGTTTTTCAACATCAAAATTTGGAAAAAAAAAAAGTGCCAATCTTCAAGAGACCCAAACTTTTTAAAGGAATAGTTTGACATGTCTGACCAACAGTTAAGCAGAAGATGTTAATGAGAAGATACAACTCTTAAAGGGAGTTGCTGTATGTGCCGGACTGTTTCTTGGTGAAAAAGACTCCACAAAATCCCTTCATCCAAGCCAGAAACAGTTTGCGACATGTTCCTAGTAAACAACAGCTTGGCGTTGTTTTACACTTCAGTATAAATGGCTGAGATATAACATGTTGACCAGTAATGACATTTGGCACATTTGTAGTAGTTCCATGTTTCTAGTCTTTATGCTAAGCTGTCTCCCGGCTTTGTATTTAGCAGTCTGTTATTGTATCTTCTCATCCAGCTACTGGGAAGATGCTACATGAGTGTATATTTCCCAAAATGTTGAACTATTCCTTTAAGATAATTCCTGCCTCAAACTGAACTAAAATGAAAAAAAAAATCAGATTATCACCCACATTTTATTTCATTTATCTAAAGCCACTATGTGTAGATGTTTAAACTTCTGCACCTTGATGCCCTCCAGTGGTAGCATTAACAAACCCACTGTGGTTATGTACTGTAAATTCTCAGATAGTGACCTGACTTTTATTTTGTGAGATGGACCTTCATCCGTAATTTTCCCTGTTTCTCAGATAATGCAGACTCTACACTTCCTTCATGTATAGCAGTTGATAGATTGTGTCTAGTGTACTTTCCTTCTGCACTTCAGAAATTACTGTTAAGCCACCTTCAGGAAAACTCAGCAGTTCCTGCCCATTTTTCCACTTTATCAGTAGGCTTAAAAAGTGAAAAACTAGAAGGAATCAGCTTTAGTCTTAACTTGCCATTTAGTGTCATTTTCAACACTGTGACCCAAAATGTGCAACGTCTGACGCTAGACCATAGACCAGTGTAGAAAATGATGCCGACAACTTTGGTGTACACACACTTGTTTGTATGTACATCTCATAATCACTGCTTTGACTCTTCTGCTCAGAAGGGGTTTATATGAGGAGCAAATGCGCAGGTGACACAGTTCTTGGTTTTAAATGCATTTGTTTCCTACACAGCCAAAGAGCATCATGTTTTGTGTTGATGTGGAGGTGGCTAGTGTCACCTTTGACCTTTAAAACACAAAATACAGACCTTTGTTGTTGTCACCTCAAATATCAAAGTATTTTATATATATGTATGTAAACTGTGCTATTCTGCATTTTATGTCCTTTATTGTTTTTTATTTGTGTTGTCAGATCTCCTTAGTTTTGTTTTATTTTGTAAGAAACAAATTGTGTCTGTGAGCCACTGGATTCGAAAGCTATGCCTCTGGAGTCGAGTCAGTCTTCTCCGTCCTCTTAATTTATCTTGTGCCTTAAAATTCATATGGCCCACATATTTACATGTATAAAGAGAACCAACAAAGCAGTTTTCCATGTTTCAGAATGTCTCCTAAACAAATAAAGAGCTTTAGCTGGATATAGCAGCATGAAGCTGTACAGCACTGGTTGCTGGCCCTTCTTTTATATTTATCACTGCACAGGGTTTCATCACGTTCATCATCATCTTTAGACAGGTTTTAAGTGAAAGTTTTGGGCAACAAACATAGTGTTGTTGTTCAGAATGTACAGTCTAGCTGGCGAAACACACCAGAGGACAGGCAGTCACACTGTTGGAACAGACACTTAAAAAACCAAAACCACAAAATCATGCAGCAATTATGTGCTTGTGGTGTGTTTGCTGTGTGTGCACCTTGTCCCTGTGCTGAGTGCAAACATTGGCAAAACCGCACAGTTTACCTGCAGCCTGATAAGGTCTCTGATTGCTCCTTCAGCTGGAATATTTGGACAAATCAGACTCCAACCCACTTTGATTGCTTCTTGATATTGGTGTCAAGACAACACACACACACACACACACACACACACACACACACACACACTGACCCAATACATTTCATCTCTTGCTGTTTGTTATAAATTAAAATCTAGTGTGTGCTGGTGGAAAAAAGGTGTGGGAATATTCTACATGCTGACTGACGACCTGTGAGAATGTGTATATTTCTATCCTTTACATTTAATTTGAAAAATTGCCAACTGACACATAATGAACATAGCACTCTGTAGGCTGGTGAGGGTTTAAGGCACTGAGACAGTTCTTAAAACAATAAACATATTGTTTTTACACTTTAGTTTTGTAGGAATTAAACCACAGAAATTTAATTGAGGCATTTCTTTACCTTTAGTCAGAGCCAGGCTAGCTGTTTCCCTCTGGTTTTTATCCTAAGCTAAGATGGCGAGCTACTGCAGGGTTGATATTCCTCTGTCTTTTGGCAAAAAAGAAAACAAATATATCTACTAAAAAAGTCCAATTGTTCCATAAAAATAGTGATAGCAGGCAAATTAAATGTTTTCATAAACCTGCAAATATATAGTAAAGCAAGCAGTGTTCTGATATGTATGAGTTTAGTTATCATTTACAATAAATGTTAATGCTACAACAATTTTAAGCTTCAGGGGCCTTTTCTCAGCCTGGGTCCCTCACTAATCAGTATCACCGTCCCCTCTGGCTAAGCAGTTATTACAGTTTTTCAGCAGTTTTTTTTTTCATTCACCTGCCTTCAGCTGAGAAACTTGATTATTTCCGACAGCACCTGAAGGCAGCGGTAGTGCTGAATCAGAGCACTGAGCTCCGTTGACTCTGTCAAGTCAGTAACAACATGTCCGGATATAGACTGATCTGACATTCGCAATAAAAAGAGCTAAGGGGTGTGGCGTACACGTGCAAGAAAAACAACCAAAGCTTCACTGTGAAATACAAAGATCACATTGGATCACAGAGGAAGTTTTTACATGGATGTTTATCATTTGAGCCAATATTAAAACATTTTGCGGAGACACAAAAAAATAAACAAAAATGTGTTATTCTTTTAACTAGGATTTTTTTTTACCATTAAAGCAACTGGAATTGCAATAAAGAGTAAACTGTGGCTTTGTTACATGCTGTGACAAAACAAATTAGCCAACTTATATGCAACAACATTAGCTAGCATTAAGTGAAAGACTTTTTTTTATTTTTCATTCACATCTGTTAAATGTATTTATTACTGAAAACATTCAGGCTACTGATGCTTTAGCCTATGCGCTTCCTTTAAATAATAGATTCTTGCATGTAGTGATTGTTGCTCCTTTTGTATCAATACACATTGTTTACACCAGGGATCCACTTAGATCTTTTTTCACATTGACATCGTATTTCTGTTCGACCTTTTATTCTGGTAAACCCAATCCAGAAGTACCGTGTGTACCTGCAGGTGTCGCGAGAGCCCAAGTCTCCAGCAGCAGAAACGCCCTGCATCCTCTCTCCTCTCCTCCGACATCCATCTACCGTGTGTCTCTCTCCTCCGCTCTGAGCCGCCCGCGCAGGGTGCTTCTCTGAACTGAAGGAAGACGAGCAAAGCCCAGCGGGAAGAAATGGCCTTTTAACGCTTGAGAGAAAGCCCCAGAAAAGACATGGATCCTCTGCCGTTTTCCTTTCTCCAATGCCTCCTCCTCGCTTTCCTGAGCTGCTTCTCTGCTTCTGCCGACCGGAGATTTGGTGAGTACGTTAATGGGTGATTTCTTGACCGGCTCCAGTTCTCCTCTGAGCCGGTGACCGGAGGAGACGTTTCTGGGTCTGAGCTCTGCTAATATCGTACGAGCGGAGCTGCGAGGAACTGGCGGGTTGCTTCACTGCAGCTTCACCTGAGCCGAGGAAAAACAAACCCAGGCTACGTTTCAGCGGGGAGATGCGCGGCGACGCTATGAAACCGGAAAATTACAGAAATATTATCAGAGCAATTCAGTGCTGCGTCGATTAATCCGAAGCTAATAAAGGGACATTGGCCTTTAGTATTTATTAAATCTGTTAGTCGGGACTATGTGTAACAAGTATTAAAGCATCAAAAATTGAAAATACAATTCTATTAAATATATTTTAATGTTGTAAAATTAACAGCACGATAGGCTATAATTACAAAACAAATATAGGCTATAAAATAATAGAAATGACACCTATATTAGCACATATAAGGTAGGTAGGCTATATTAACATGCACATTTCTACTGAAATTAAGGTAAATTTAATACATAAAATTATTCAAATGATGTGATAGTCCAATAATTGCATAAACAAAGCACAAAAGTATTGTACATTGGTAAATACAGAATAATTGAAAACACTGATGATTAAAAGAAACCAAAAATCATCACTATTTAAATAAAATGTACAAAGTAGTGATTTACTAATAAAAGAGATAAATAAGGAGAAGATGTGATTTTAAAATTATTCAAGAGGAATTCTGTAACCAAAATATGACTTAGAAACAGAATACAAATAATAAATATACAAGTAGAATAAACGCAGACAGTGCTAGGCCTGTGCATGCTCTCCTGTAAATGAGAGGATGCTACAATCAGTGATAACATCAGTGCAGAGCAATAAACAGTGAGCTAGTACATACACTCTCTGATTTCTGTCAGAGGCAGGCTATTGATCGGAAATAAGATGTGTGTGTCTGTGTGATGCCCGTAGATGTTCATTTCTCTCATGCACAGTCTATAAATACCTGATATCTAATTTGCCCTGCGCTGATTGAGATTCAGAGCCTGCAGGACGACTGATGCACATGTAGTGGAAGGTGGTGAGAGGAGGAGGAAGAGCAGGAAGAAGCTTGTGCTGAGAGGGAGGTGACATGTGTGTGGTGTGTATCCACCCCCCACCCCCATTCAGATTACATAACCAGCATATATGGCAGCCACAGGACAGACTTGGCCCAGTTGCAGCTTTCACTCTCTGTCTGTGTCCTGTGATAAACACAAACAGGTTTAGTGACCATATTTGACCTAAGTGATCTTTGACAGTTTAGATACATTAGAAGATTATTGCTTACCTCCTCAGTATTTTCTGTTTCCTATGGTATCATAAAACCCCAAATTATGACAACAGCTATAACTTATTTCATCTTAAATGTATTATCTGAATCGACAAATCTGCAAACTAACAGCTACATTTGTCAGATAAATATTGGCGTAAAAGGTACAATACTGGTAGAACAAAAAGGAAAACACTGACATAAAATTCCTCAGAAGTGTATTGCAGACATTATAAAACACCTAAATGTACACGAATGGTCTCTGAATGAGCTTTAACATGTACAGTATTGTCTAGAAACAACTGGGAGTTCCTTTGATACTAACCCCCAGTGCAGAAAACCAGCACCTTCAGCTGACATATTCTGTTTTGGGATTGTTTAAAACCTGCTTCATAAAAACTTCAAACTTTAAACCTGGTTTGTATGAAGTCAAAACTGGAGAGTGGCTCAGAGAATCCCTGTAAATGTCCCCATAAAGGACCTGGATGTTAAAAATTTAATCAGAAGTTTAACTTTTCTGTGACCTTGTACACATAATATCCTTCCACCATAAGAGGTTGCTGCATATGGCGACTCCCAGTGTTATTTCTGGCAGAACAACCTGATGTTTTTTTTTATGAAATACTGTAGTTCAGAGTGATTTCAATAAAATTCGAGTGGTAATAGTGTAGATAGTGCTTATTCAGATGTAGGAAGCAGATCCATACATAAAGTGCTGAGGGTCTGGTGCTTTACTCTGTTTCTGTTGTGGCAGGTTTTTCTCCCACTACTTGAAATAAGATCATAAAATATCTCTGTGGAGTAAAAACCTTTACTGGCGAAATTTGGGGCAGTTTCACTATTTCAATATCCAAATCAGCAGCGACTCAACTGTTGTTTATTATTTCATAACTAGTTAATTGATCACCAGTTTTTTTAATTAAATCAGTTTACTGGTAAATTTATTACAATTTAATTGGTAAAATTACAATTAAATTTACACAGAGACCAAAATAATTATTTTTGTATAAAAAAACCCCCAAAATAATTAGTGTATAATGATATGAAACGATATGAAAAGCAGCAAACTGTCATATGTGACAGTCTGGAAAGGTTTGACATTGTTTCTTCATAAAGCGACTTAAACTATGAATTGATTATCACATTTAAAATTGTTTTCAAATTACTTTATTTACATGTAGCTAAATGTATTTGTTGTGCTTCTGGCTTAATTACATATTTCACATGATTATTACAGTATTTTACAAGTGGTACAATGGCGCAGTGGTTACCGCTGTCGCGTCACAGCAAGAATGTGTGGGTTTGAACTCGGCCTGACCTGGGTGTGGAGTCTGCATGTTCTCCCTGTGCCTGTGTGGGTTCTCTCTGGGTACTCTGGCTTGCTCCTATAGTCCAAATACATGAAGGTTAGGTTGACTGGCGACTGAATTGCCCGTAGGAGTGAGTGTTGGTGTGGGTGTGTGCGGTTGTTTGTCTACATGTCAGCCCTGTGATGGACTGGCGACCTGTCCATGCCGGACCCAGTGTCAGCTGAGATTGGCTCCTGTGACCCTATTCAGGAATAAGCAGTAAAGATGATGGATGGATAAATCAACACAATCTGGACATATGTAATTTTCAGATACATCATGCACCTTGAATTCTCATCAGACGTTTACATATATTTTGATGGTAAACACCATACAATACTGGACATAAATTTCACGTTTGTGGTTTTTTCTGCACCTCATTCTTACTGCGCTGTCTCTCCAGTTAGGGTTATTTCACCGCAATTATTTCCAGTTTTTGAGATTGGAAATCCTGATGTGTTGACATCAGGTGCATACTCATACATTAATAATTATACTATGAATATACTTCTCTTGTGTTATTTACATACATTATACTGCTGATACATCCCTCCTGGCAGGTGTATTTTATTCTAGTGAGTCTTTAGCTGTTGTGACTGTATTGTCATATGACAACAGTAACATATTATGGGTAAAGTATTCTCTTCTCTCTCAGTGTGATCTCGTGGGCTGCTGTTGGTCCAGGTGAGTTACATTCATGTTTATTGTGCCTGACAGAGGGTGTTTTTATTATAAAGCCCCTCTGTGTGTCTGCAAGCTTCATTTTCCCTCCTGGGACTGAAAGTACAGACTGTGTTCAGGTCAGGCCTCCTAATCATTAACCTGGACCAGGAGGAGGTCACCGCCGGTTCGCATGGTGTGACCGTCGCCATGGCCATGGCACGCTCATTAACATTTTATTCATGCTGATTGGTTGGTTCTTTAGATTACAGAGCTGCTGAGCTAGCTCACTGTAATGCTGCTGTTGTGGACACAGGCAGATCACAGCACCAGAGCAATGCCGTTAGTTGGACACACGCTCCAGCTGTAGTTAGGCCTCCTGTAATCTTAATGACCCCTTTTTGGTTTTTCTGTTAATTCTTGCTCTAACCAGTGATAGTGAAACTCTGTCCTTTTTGTTCTCATTGTACCAAAAGCTGGAGTCAGATGTTTGGTCCAATGGTGTCGGTTTCTTTGGTTTATTGTGTGTGAATCAGGCATCTGTGTTTCAGTACATTAGGACATTATATTGTGGCAGTGTAGTGGACTTTGCAGTGGTACTGCTGTAGCTGCCATGCTTATCATCAAGCTTCCTCCATTCAAATTATCTAGAATTATCAATAACTGTTTTCACACCAAACAGGAGAGAGTCAGAGGCTGTCAGTAGGATTTGAAATGGTTTATTCATAACTTTAATTGCTGTTACATCCCAGTTCATGTAGGGATAAGAGAAGCAGCATAATCCCAGATGTTGTGGATGAAAGTAGGACACGTTAATTTTACCAGTGTGATTGAGATGACAAATGAGCAGCGATGTAAGGATTTTACTAACCAAAATAACCAAAACCAGAATAAGGACACCAAGAGAACTAACAGAGGGCCAAACCTTGGCCCCGTGTACTACGTATTATGCGTACAATGCCAAACCCTTATAGAAAATCCTTGAATGGATTATGCTGTGATGATGCAAATCAAATAGCAGAGGGGAGCTTGTCCCTGTTGAGAGAAACACATAGTGATTATAAACCTGATGTTGTTCTGCAGTCTGTGGTGAAGCTCAGCTGTCTCTGAGCTGGTGTTACATTTGTTGATGTTACTTTATTGCTCATTTGATGGAATAACTTGACGTTAATCATCATATTAATCGATGTGAAATGAAATGAGAGTGTGATGAACAGCCTGTTCCTCTTAACGCTGCCCTGCTGCTGGCTGCTGTTTCTGGCTGTGTTGATTGATGTTGCCTCCTGTTTTGGTTTCTCCTCACTGTACAGGTGAGACCACATCTGTTCTGGGCCTTTATCTCAGTGAAATTTGTCAATTTGGCCCTGCAGGGTTCACTGCGCTTCCTGCTGCATCACCGGTGCTGCTTACAGTGTAACAGCATGTTTAAGCTACGGCTAGCAGCCACATAGTGAACATCTAAAAACAAAAGTTTAATTGTCAGCCTGGCCTGGCTTTGTTTATGAAGAGAGCTTTGGCTGTTGGTTATAATAACATACTCATGAAGCCTATTGCTGACATTTAAAAATGGCCCTGGTAAAAGGTTTTGGTGAATACTGACACAGTGAACAGTGATTTGAAGAATGAGACAGGATACGAAACCCAGTGTCAAAGTAACGTGGTCACTGCACCACCCA